GCACTTTGGAGCCCGAGGTGGGCGGATCCACAGGAGGCAGGAGATCGAGAACCATCCTGGCTAACAAGGTGAAACCCTCCGTCTCTACTAAAAAAATACAAAAAAAACTAGCCAGCGCGAAGGTGGCGAGCGCCCTGTAGTCCCAGGCTACTCGGGAGGCTGAGGTAGGAGAATGGCATAAACCGCGGAGGCGCGGAAGCTTGCAGTGAGCCAGAGATCCGGCCACTGCACTCCACCTGGGCGACCAGACCGAGACTCTCGCAAAAAATAAAATAAAAATAAAATAAAAAATAAAAAAAATTAGCCCGGGCCCATGGCGTGGGGCGTGCCTATAGTCAGCTAGCTCGGGGCTGAGGCAAGGAAGAATGGCGTGAACGGAGGGGCAGAGCTTGCATGAGCCCGAAGATCGCGCCACCTGCACTCCAGCCACGGTAACAAATACGAGACTCCGTCCAAAAAAAAAACAGGTGAGATAAATTCGGGGGCAATCTCGGCTCACTACAACCTCCACCTCCTGGGTTCAAGCGATTCTCCTGCCTCAGCCTCCCAAGTAGCTGGGATTACAGGCACCCGCCACCACTCCCAGCTAATTTTTGTATTTTTAGTAGAGACGGGGTTTCACCATCTTGGCCAGGCTGGTCTTGAACTCCTGACCTCGTGACCCACCCGCCTCAGCCTCCCAAAGTGCTGGGATTATAGGCATGAGCCACCGCACCTGGCCAAGACTCCATCTTAAAAAAAAAAAGAATCGACTGGAGAGGGCCAGGATTGAGACCAGGAGACCAGTTAAGAAAATAAGATCATGTCCGCAAGGTACTTGGCATGTGGAAATTGTTCAGTCAATGAGAGTTCCCTTTTCTTCCTTTTCTCTTCCCCTCCTTGTCCTGCCTCTCCTCTTTGTCAGGTCATTGAGTTGGTCGGTTGTGTATCGGTCCGTCAGTTGGTCCGACCATCCATCCATCCTTCCGTCCTTCCTCCCTCACTCCCTCCCTCTTTCTCCCTCTAACCCTTCCCATCTTGTCCTCCCTGCCTCAAGTATAGATTATTTTGCTTCTCAAGGACAAAAACTTCTAGAGTCATTTTTAGCTGTCACAACTGGTGGAGGCAGGTGTTAGTGGATAGACTCCAGTCGAGTGGCTAGAGGCCAGGGATGCTGCTAAACATTCTACAATGCACAGGAGAGCCCAACTACCACCACTACCACACTCCCCCAAAGAATTATCTAGGCCAAACTGTCAAGAGGGCTAACGTCGAGAAACCCTAGATTAGAGCTTTCCTGTCCTTAAATGCAGTTACCTGAAGAATACACTAAATTGGATCAAACTGGATGGAGTCCTGGCACTCACTGTGATTGAGAACACATGACAAACAGGTTTACTGGGCAGGCCGCTAAGCTGATCTACTTGCTGATTCAATTAGTTCCACTTTCGGGAGGCTGGCATTTTCCCAACCTTGCACCATGCTCTTGTAGGTACATTTACCCTATTTGGGGCCTTAGCCCTTTACAAATGAACGTTTCAGTGTAAGAGACATTGCCACATAACTTGTATTAAGTGGTATGAATTTAAAAAGCAAGCTCAGCCACTACACATCAGAATCCAGCATTGAAGGAGGTGTGGAAGTCAGAAAGATGGACAGGAAGATCCCTTCAGGCTTAAAAAGGACCCCAGGGCCCAGCACAGTGGCTCACGCCTGTAACCCCAGCACTTTGGGAGGCCAAGGTGGGTGGATCACTAGAGGTCAGGAGATCGAGACCAGCCTGACCAACATGAAGAAACTCTGTCTCCACTAAAAATACAAAATTAGCCCGGTGTGGCGGAGCATGCCTGTAATCCCAGCTACTCGGGAGGCTGAGGCAGGAGACTCGCTTGAATCCAAGAGGGGAAGGTTGCAGTGAGCCGAGATCGCGCCACTGCACTCCAGCCTGGGCAACAAGAAACTCCGTTTTAAAAAAAAAAAAGGACCCCAGGGCATGGCTAAGGGTAGGGTGAATGGGGCACAAACCACCCCTACTTCAGTCCAGGACATGCCTCTGAACTCCCACCCAAGGAAGACAGCTGTGTGGCAAGACAAGATATACAAAACAAAGCGTAGTGACACGTCCTCAATATCTACCTCCTTTCCTAGCCTTGGCTCCATCCGCCCCCTCCCCGGTATTCCCAGAATTTACAGCCGGCAGGGCTGCAGTCAACACACACACAAACACCACCTGTCACAGTTCGCGACACACCTCGGACTTTCCCAAACCTCAGTCCCATCCCTCCATTGCCCTAAAGATCCATCCCCTCTTCAGGGCAACGGCCCCCTCCCCGCGAAAGCAAAGCTGAGTTGCTATGGTTATCCCCTCCTTCCTCTACCCCCACCCCCCCCCCCCTGCCAATTTCCGTCCCGGCCTCAGTCCTCCCCCGCCCAGGCTTCCCTCCACTCACCAGGTCTCCGCCCCCCATGATGGTGGAGACGATTCCTCACTACGCGGATCTGGAAGACTTCCAGGATCAAGAGAATACGTAGAAAAATAGTCCAGGGGCTACCTCGCGGGCTCTGGTCCCAGGAGCCGTCGACTACCAGTTTCACATACCAACCTACAGGCCACTTCCGGGAGGGCGTCATCTCACCGCGTCGGCGTCGCGGAACGATGACGTACAGGGCTCTGTCGCGCTGTGTGACTGTAGCGTCGCGTGCGGATTTCGCAAAGTTCCAGGCTTCGCTGTGGAGACCTCTGCCGTCCAGGTCTCATTTTGGCTGCTTCTGGTCGCCACTTTGTCTGATGTCCCAAACTCTCCGTTGAAACGCCACAGCTCTGTTCAGCGATGGGTTGCCGTGGGCCTCTGCACGCGGCTGTGTTGCCATGGCAGCGCACGAGGGCATCCGGCTCAAAAGCTCCACATACTCGCTGCTAGACGTAGCGTGGACCAGAGTACGCCTCCTCCCCTCACCCAGCACACACCCCCACACTCCAGTTTTCCAAAACGGCTTTGCGAACTGGCGCTTTCCTCAGACCTTGACTCACAGCAAATCCCCTTTAGTCAGGCACGATCTCAGCTCACTGCAACCTCTACCTCCCAGATTCAAGCGATTCCCCTGGCTCAGCCTCCCAAGTAGCTGGGATTACAGGCACGCGCCACCACATCCAGCTAATTTTTTATGTTTTTTTGTAGAGATGGGGTTTCACCATGTCGGCCAGGATGGTCTCAATCTCCTGACCTCGTGATCCGCCCGCCTTGGCCTCCAAAAGTGCTGGGATTACAGGCGTGAGCCACCGCACCCAGCCTAAATATGACATTATTAAACACTAGATACATTTTTTCTGGAAATGGGTCTCTATGTTGGTCAGGGTCTAAATATATCGGTTAAGCTGATCTTGATTCCTAGAGTCAAGTGATGCTCCCACTTCAGGCTCCAGAGGAGCTGGGATTACAGGCTGGAGCCGCCACCGTGCCTGACAGGAGGAATTCTTATTTGGTGCCAGCTCTCTAACACTTCTAAAATCTTCTAAATACAAAGTGCTAGGATTACAGGCGTGAGCCACCGCGCCTGGCCAATCTCCCTCTTTTTTATTCAAAGAGTGTATAGTGCTGGGCATGGTGGCACAGACCTATAATCCCAGCTACTTGGAAGGTTGAGGCAGGAGGATCACTTGAGTCCAGGAGATGGAAGCTACAGTGAGCCGTGATTGTGCCACTGTAGTTCAGCCTGGGTGACAGAGTGAGACTCCATCTCTTTAAAAAAAAATTTTAAACGACTTTTTTCTTAAGTTACTGAGGATAGGAAAGGGAATAATTTTTTCACTCTGTGATTCGGTGTTTTTGTCTATCTCCAGTTAAATTGCAAATGTCTGCAGTACCCATTCCACACTTGGGACAGACAGACGCAAGATGTGAAGCTGGGCATGGTGCTCACACTTGTAGTCCCAGCACTTTCAGGGGCTAAGGTGGGAGAATCACTTGAGCCCAAGAGTTGGAGACCAGCCTGAGCAATATAGCAAGACCTCCTCTCTACTTATGTTTAAAAAAACAAAAACATGCCGGGCGCGGTGGCTCAAGCCTGTAATCCCAGCACTTTGGGA